ATTCTCATAAGAAATTTTGGTGAGATTTACACCGAATAGAATAGGTACTTTGGTCAAATGTGCTGCAGTAATGTTTAGTTCCCTCATACAGGTCTTCTAAAAAAGTTAAACTGAAAATCTTTTCCAGTGGGCTTCATAAACCTAAAAAACTGCCATATATAGTACAGTCATTAAAAAATGTCTCATTTTAATTTGATGAGCACCTCTAAATGACTCTAGGGATTTTGAATGTTTGGGTGCCTATGATGCATTTATTTCTCTGCTTGAAATCTGTGTTCTTACTAGGTCCTGTGTGTTTAGTCTGATGTTTAGTAAATATATTAAATAAAGTCAAGGAAAATGTGTAGGACTATATAAGTTTTGTGTATGACAGAACTCTTCCAGTGCCATTTCATTGGTATCTTGTGCTGCTTGCTAAGTTTTTAGTGTAAGATATGATTAGAAAATAAATCTGCCAAAATCTAAGCTTTTGTCCTGAGGACTGTTCTCACTAGGTAGTAACCTAAGCACATGTAAGTTAAGCAGTTAAGTAAATTAGTACTGTTAAAAAATTTGATCATGGGATTGAGATTTGGGGGGAGTGTGAGGAGTTACTTCTGGAGCTTCAGAGTTTTAAATTTGTTCTAGGATGACTGGAAAGGAACTGGAATGCATACAAAGGGAACTGTCATAGAAGTAAATCACTTTTAACTGATTGAATGCAAAGTCACAGGCCAATGTTTGAAAATGAGATTGATATTGGAAAAAAGAGTGTTCCTTTTTTGTTGTGATAAAATAGTCATCATTTTGTTGCTGCTTATATATCATAAATTATTAATGTTGTATCACCTAAAAACTGCATATATGTTCTTCAGATTACTAGAATGTCAGAACTTGTTAGAGAAAGTTCCAGGTTCTGTTATTTTGAGATATTTTCCTGTTTCTTTTCAAGTACTGAAATAATTTTGCATCTTAATTGTCAGATGTTTTGAAATCTCTTAGGACTGTTATTATCACTCTGAACATAATCTGCTATAGAACAAACTCCTCAGTCTTTATTGACTTAAAATTTTTTCTAATAATAACTGCAGAACATTTTAGAATAGTCTACTTTTGAGTATTTATTTAAACTATTTAATTTTAGTGTCTTTTATCTTCAAAAATGATATAACTTCTTTTTTTTTTTTTAAAGATTTTATTTATTTATTAGAGAGAGAGAGAGCACAAGCAGGGGGAGCGGCAGGCAGAGGGGGAGGGAGAAGCAGGCTTCCCGCCGAGCAGGGAGCCCGATGCGGGACTCGATCCTGGGACTCCAGGATCATGACCTGAGCCGAAGGCAGTCACTTAACCAACTGAACCACCCAGGCGCCCTGGCTTTAAAAAATCTTAAGTCAGGGTATATAGTGGAGAAGAGAAGCGGACAGTGAACCTTGACCCAGCCATTAAACTAGTATAATCGGGCAGGTCACTCCTCTGCTGCCCTGTCATTGTAAAAGTTGAGAATTGGAGTAAAATCTAGTAGTCCTAATTCTAAAAAAATCTCATCTTCCAATGAACTTTTCAGTGTTCTTTATGAAAGAATAAACATTTATTGAATGCCTTCTTGATACTACCTTCTATGTTAGTAGATTAAGAATTCTGTAGGAGAGGTAGCAGTAACTCCATTTTATCAATGAATAGACTCAGAAGTTAAGTTGCCCAGTTCCCATAGCTAGCAGGTTGCAGAGTTGGGATGCCAACTTAAAGTCTGACTTCAAAGCCTATATTGTTTTCACATGTTGCATTGCTGGTCTTTACATGAGCCTTTACCTATCTCATATTTTTTGTTCCCTGAAATTTAGTTTGAAGTGTACTTTGGGTATGTTTTTAATACAAGGATGAAGTGATTCAAAGACTATATCAGTACCAAGATTTAAGGGTCTTATTGAGAATCTGTTTTTTTATGTTTTAGAGCAGGATCAATTCATGAGTGCCTACTACAGTTTGATATAGTAGGCATTTAAACATTTATTGAATAAATGAATGTAGAGAGTCACAAAAGTTTAGGAGACTCTGTTAAGCTGATCCTTTATGAATTTGTAAGATTCCAAGTGGATTTAATGTTTTAATAGAACTTAAAATTACCTTCATAAATGAGACATTACTTGTAAATTTTTAGGCCATTCTTCTTATTTAAAAAAAATTTTTTTTTTTTAAGATTTTATTTATTTGCAAGAGAGAGAATGAGAGACAGCATGAGAAGGAGGAGGGTCAGAGGGAGAAGCAGACTCCCTGCTGAGCAGGGAGCCTGACGTGGGACTCGATCCTGGGACTCTGGGATCATGACCTGAGCTGAAGGCAGTCGCTTAACCAACTGAGCCACCCAGGCGCCCCAGGCCATTCTTCTTATTGTCTGTAGTTCCTTGTATCATAGAAGTGTCGCTTGTTGATAAACTTCACTTCAGAAAATACCAGCTCTCTATATAAAGAGTATTATTTTTTTGTGCATAATGACAAATATCCCTAAGTAAGTTTGTATTGTTACGTTAGGATTATCTTATCCCTGTATGTTTTAGCTAGTGTCTGCCAAAAGTTAAAAAAGTGATATAAAAACTGCTTAGCCATTATCAGGGACTCTTTCTATTCAGATACGTAATTCTATGATTTGTCAGTATCTATGATGAAGTCTTCCACCTCACAGTTTGGTACTCTCAAGGTTCTTAATAACTTTAGTTGAGAGTATGGGTTCAAATTCCAGCTCTGTCACCAGCTGTGGAGGCCTTGGTCAAGTTACTTGGTCAAGTCTCAGTTTACTCATTTATAAAATAGGGAAAATAATACCCACCTCATAAAGATTTTAGTATTAGATGAGATAATGTATGTAAGATGTTTACTGTGGGGCCAGTGAGTGGTAGCTATGAGTATTTTCTTTTAAAAGTTTGCTTGCTTTAGGGCATGGTTTTTTCACATTAAAGGTGGGTATTTGAAGCTGCTACGCTTCCCAGATAACATAAATGTTAACACTGCCTTGCCACGCAAATAAGTAGTTATGCCCTTTCATGTTTTAATGATTGATTAAACAGGATTAGCAGCTTTTTTTCTTGAGTTCCACCGTTGAGGTTAACTGAAGCCTTTGGGTGTCATTGTTAAAATAAATGCGTAGATTGTAGGGGTGCCTGGGTGGCTCAGTCAGTTAAGTGGTTAAGTGTCTGCCTTCTTGAGTGTCTGCCTTCGGCTCAGGTCTTGATCCCAGGGTCCTGGGATAAAGCCCTGCACCGGGCTCCCTGCTCAGCGGGAAGCCTGCTTCTCCCTCTCCTCCCTGCTTATTCTCTCTCTCTCTCTCTCTCTCTCTCTCTCACTATTTAATAAATAAATAAAATCTTAAAAAAAAAAAATAAAATAAATGCATAGAATGTGAACCTGGAGGAGAATCAGAGTAAAAGAGAAAAGGAGAAAGGAAGAGGTGGTTGAGAGAAGACAGAGTGTTGCTTGTGCCTCCAAAAATTCCTTAAAGTGCTTCTATTGGCCTAGGTTTTCTTTCTGTGATAACATTTTATTGGAGTGCTGACAAATGCATTGTGTTTATAAAATATTTATTATTGCAAATGTTTTGTTTGCTAATCTAGTTTTTATTGCTGTAACTTAAAATCTGTATTTGAAAATTATTAAGAATACTGTGTATATTTTTAGCTTTTGATAAAAAAATTAGGAAGTTTAAATAATTTAATCCTGTATTTCTTAAATAGAAAGTATTTTGATTTTCTCATATACAACTTTCAGATGATATAGGACTTAAAACATGAAGCACTGCCCATAAAAGAAATTCTGTTAGAACACTAGTTCTAAGAGAGTTTTATTTTTAGGAAAGAAAAATGCTGAATTTTGCTGGGAAATAGAGTTTTTTGTTCCACAGTTTATTTCCAATTAACTGTATAGAGCCTGTACTATAGACCAGTGTTATCCAGTAGAACTTTCTGTGATAATTAAAATATTCTCTATCTGCACTGTCTGTTGTGGTAGCCACTAGTCTTTTGGAATTGAGCACTTGAAATATGGGTAGTGACTGAAGAACAAAATTTCAAACTCTTTTTAATTAATTTTCATTTAAGTAGCCTCATGTGGCTTGTGTTTTTCAGCTGGTGGTAATTTTGTCCTCAAGCAACATTTGGCAATGTCTGGAGTAGTTTTTGGTTGTCAAAACTGGGGAGATACTGCTGGCACCTCCTTAATAGAGAAGGCAGGGATGCTGTTAAACGTATAATGCACAAAATAGCGTTACTACCCCCCCCACCCAAAACCCCCAAAGAATTATCTTGCCCGAAATGGTAATAGTGCAAGGCTGAGAAGTCCTGAGCTGGTGGCTACTGTACTGGCAGATAGAGACAGAATATACAAATTTTGTAATCATCATTATGTTTATTTATAGATTAATTTTGACTAATACCAATGAAAAGATTGAAAATCTAGTATAATTTGAGATAGTTGATGGTTTCTGTATTCTAAAGTTTGATAAGGTTAGAATGATAATGTGAAGTCCCTCTTCTGTTGTCTATTTTGTTAGTTCATTTATAGGAGGCAAGAGCTCGTTTATGTTCCAGCTTAAAATGTTCCATGTTGTGTGAAATATGTCACCAGCATCTCCTAACGGATGTGAAATGTTGGGATTAAAACCGATTGAAAATATGCTCAGATACATACTGAAGTATTTATGATTGAATGTTACATTTTGTAGTTGATAATGGTTGAATTTGGGCAGTGAGTATATGGAGGTTGGTTATATTGTGCTCTCTACTTTTGTTTATGTTTCAGTTTTTCCTTAGTGAAAAGTAAAAAAGTACTTAGGTGAGGCATAACTAATAATGATAGAATGTGGAATGTGACCAAGAAATTATTTTATCACAGAAATAGTGTTTATTTTGCATGCATTTAATCTTCCACAACAATTGCATTAATATGTTCTGTTTAAAAAACAGTGTCACATTACTAAAAGTCACTGCATTTACAATACTGCAAAGAATACTGACATTCTTTTACTCTTACAGATTGTTCTGGGTAACATAATGCCAGCTGAGCGTAAAAAGCCAGCAAATATGGAGGAAAAAGAAACTTTACTAAACAACAAGGAAAAAGACTGCGGTGAAAGGCGGCCAGTGAGCAGCAGGGAGAAACCAAAAGATGAGATCAAGCTTACTGCCAAGAAGGAGGTTATTAAGGTCCCTGAAGATAAAAAGAAGAAACTGGAAGAAGATAAGAGAAAAAAAGAAGACAAGGAACGAAAGAAAAAAGAAGAAGAAAAGGTGAAGGCAGAGGAAGAATTAAAGAAAAAAGAGGAAGAAGAAAAAAAGAAACATGAAGAGGAAGAGAAAAAGAAGCAAGAAGAGCAGGCAAAACGTCAACAAGAAGAAGAAGCTGCCCAGTTGAAGTAAGAACATTTATTTTATTATTGATGTGAAGGAATGGGAAGATTGTAATGTTAGGAAAGCAATGATTATTTGGAATCAGACCTCTGGAGTGCACTTCAATGAGAGTATCTTCAGTTACTCGTTCTGTTACATTTTCAGTGACTAGAGGCATGCTTATGATGCTTTAATTACTCATTTAAAATAATCGTAATTAAATTAATTCATAAATAATAAAGTTATCTT